CATCAGGGATGTGCAGCCGACAAATCTGCAGCAACTGTGTGATGCTATCATGTCAATATCAAGTGTGCCGCAAGCCTACGTTTGAGTGAAGGTTTCGGCCGTTAGATCGCCCCCTGGGGGCTGGCTGCAGTACAAGTCATAAAGCCCGCCTCCTCCGTGTTAATGAAGGAGACTTGAGCCCAAATAAAAAAAAATATTACACTTGCAATAAAATGTCCCGAAAGATAGTTCTGGTCGATTAAGGCACTGGTTATTGTGCTGAAATAGGTGCAGATCTTCATTTTTGTAAACAGTTTGTTTTTAGCAGTAATTTAATGCTGGGCGTGTCATCGTGATTGACAGCTGTGATTGACAGTTTCTCAAAGCGCGGCGTCTGAGCTTCGGCAGGAGACTGAAGTAGACTGAAATGTTATTATTCGATTTCTGTGTTATTTTACTATGACAAAATGAGTTCAGCAGTAAACTATAGTTTCTGACATACATGATCCTGGTGGAACACTGTTTATTCGCTAAGTTCAGGGCTTTTTTCGGGCTTTATTAGTTTGCTGATACACGCCTAGCCACCCAGATAGCAAAACACAGTTCCGGCTAGATTCTCGCCTGCCGGAGACTTATCTCTTAGAGCTCAGACTGACTAATGTTACCTCTGCTGGACCTACTCCGGATGCCTGGACTCACTGCCCGATTCCAGTCCGAGTCAATCGAGCCAGATGCGGCGGCCGAGCGAGCAGGCGCTGCCGCATGTGAGCCGGAATCAGCCCGCGACGCCGCGAGTAAGTTATGCGCTGCGGCCTGGAGCTGGCGCGATTGAATATATAAAACCCTCATATTTGTTAACGTTATTACATCCATTTGTGTTGATATGACAGCAAACGCATGCTGAGAAGTTCGGGGGGCGTAGTTGATTTTACATAAAGCGTTTGATTGGAAGCTCGACTCTGCTCATTTTCGCGGCTCCTCCTCTGGCTCCATCAGACAATCCTTCTGCGCATGTCTGGCTCCAATTTCAGCAGTCTTTTGCGACAGTTTGTGCCCGTCAAGCAGGCGTTTTGCCCTCAAGGCGTTCAATGGGAAAAAGGGCTGTCGCGTCGTCCATATTTTTTACAGTCATTGGTCAATATGCATGATGAAGAGCAAAATCTCTGAGGAATATTTCCAGTAGCCACAAAGGATTAAGGCAGTTTTGAAGGCAGCTAGTAAGGTGTACCTAATAAAGTGGCATGTTTTCACTGCATTTGTCTGTCTCAGGTGCTTCACCTCAGTCTGGAGTATGGGACATTTATGTGGCAGCTGGGTCAGGCTGATCAATACGTGCAAATCCACAGTCTGGAGAACAAGAAGAACTTTGTCGTTCACACCAAACAGGTCCGCCCCTGCTTCACATCTCTACATTCATTGAGCCTCATAAATGAAGTTGAACTAGAACCTAATGGCGTTTGTGTTGTTTTTCTGTAGGCTGGTCTTATCGTGAAGCTGCTGATGAAGCTGAGTGGACAAATTGCACCAAACGACAGAGCTGTGTCTGATAAATATGCGTATGGGTAACCAAATCACACACAAGCTTGTTCATTTTAGTTTTAGTTTTTATTCTTATGCTGTCAGAAAACTAAATGTTGTTTATACCAAAAGGAGACAGTTATACATATTATAAATGTGTTTACCATGTAATATTTTCTTACTGATATTATTTGCATTTTATAATGTCATGATAGACTTGTGCTTTTAACCGTTGTTGTAAATATGAACAGTCATTTTAATAAAAAAAATGCACAAAAAGTGAACAAATAGGATGTATTCATGAATGCAGGGTTGTTGTTTTTATTATTTCCTATAAAACAGAATTAATAATCTAAAGTTTATTACATTTACAATTAATTACATTTAACTTTTATAGTCATGTAAGTTTTAAATGCTTTATTTTATTTAGTAATTTTTTTAACCCCAAATGTTGTATTCCAAGGAGGAACAAATTATTAATTGTCATAGCTTAATGTTCATTCATTCATTCATTCATTCATTCATTTTCCTTCGGCTTAGTCCGTTTATTTATCAGGGATTCGCCACAGCGGAATGAACCGCCAACTTTTCCAGTATATGTTTTACACAGCGGATGCCCTTCCAGCTGCAACCCAGTACTGGGAAACACCCACACACACTCATTCACACACACTCATACACAACAGCCAGCTTAGTTCATCAGTTCCCCTATAGCGCATGTGTTTGGACTGTGGAGGAAACCGGAGCACCCGGAGGAAACTCCACACAGAAATGACGACTAACCCAGTCAGGACTCGAGCCAGCGACCTTGCTGTGAGGCCACAGTGCTAACCACTGAACCACCGTGCTGCCCAGTACATAATATTTTACTAGTTAATTTGCAGGATACTAGTATTCATCCTAAAATCTAATTTAAAGGGTTAACTAGACAAATCAGGTTAATATTACACAACAGTGCTATAGTCATTCATTCATTCATCTTCTGCCACTTTTCCGGGGCCGTTCGCCAAGGCAGCAGTCTTAGGAGAGAACCCCAGACTTCCCTATCCCCAGACACTTCCTCCAGCTCCCCTGGGGGGATCCCGAGGTGTTCCCAGGCCAGCCAAGAGATTAGCCGCGTTTCCACTATCGCGCCTAAAGCGAGCGAGCCAGGGCGAGCCAAGGCCAGTGGCGTTTCCACTGTCACTTCCGGGGCCTAATCGGGCCAAAGCGGGGCTTTCTCGGGGCCAACGGCCAGCCTTTTTCGGCCCGCCGAATACCTTGGGCCAAGGAGGGCCAGCCGGGGCTTCGGGGCGGAGTGAAAGGAGAGGCGGGCACAGTTTTCCGATCGCACTCGATTACATGCGCCAAACAAATAAATAAATAAGGGAAATAAAACATCTGGAACAAATTATAGACTGGGGTCTTTTTTGCATATGATCGCCCTTAAGTTTCTCTTTTAAATGTAAGGCTGTTGCATAAAATGATCTTTCTTTGCTGCATCTTTGATGTTTCAATAACGCATAATAATCTGTACACCATATTAAAGACACAGCAGACAGTAAAGGTTTTCAAGAGGTTTTGTCAAGTTTAATACTGTGTGTGTTTTTGTGCGTTTAGATGCCTGTGTATGTGTGTGAGACGGAGGAAAAGAGCGCTCCATTCATAGCTCTGTTGATGCCGCGAGCGGCTTTTTTCTTTTATTTTTATTGTTTTAATTTATTTTGGAGATAATACACTATATGAATACAACAGTAGGACATAAAACTTTACAAATTTCATGTCCACTTTTGTAGGCTCAAAACAATAGTGTCATATCTAGATAAAATAGCCCTATATTGAAATAATTTAAAGAATTACAAATATTAGATAGGCCTATAATAAAATCACATTAAATAAATAAACCAATATAAAACTAACAAAAGCTATAGCTATAACAATTAGGTACTATATATCAAACTGTTTCAAATTTATATTAAACTTTCATTTTTCAAAAGCCTCTTTGAAAAAAAGATTTTAGATATTTTCTAAAAAAATAAAAATAAATAAACACCGGAAAATGTTTTAAATATTATTTATAAAGTATTTGGATACGATGAAATTAATCAAATCATGCAAACAGAGCATTTTTGGGGTGAGTGAACGCAGAAACTAGGCGACCTTTTTTTCTGTCTGCAGCCGCGCAGCACTTTTTTGACGGGGAAAATTGCAAGTTCAAAATGTGTTCTGTGTCCTCAAACAAGTGTGTATGTTTTTATATAACGTGGTAAAATTAAAAAAGGACATTTTAAATACATAAAGAGCTTTATTAGTGCATAGCTGCTGAGCGCAACGCAATATAGGCTATATTTTATTACGTGCTGCTCTTATGTGCTGAAACACTGAACACTTTCCTTTACTTAAGATATAATAAGCAACATCTTTAAATAAAGGGAATCACCTATTAAGTGTCATAAAGCCTATAGGGGGAAAATAATCATGTTTCAGTTCTCTCCGGAGCATTTGGGATGAATGTTGGACAGATTCTGTCTAGAGGATGTTATAAAAAACATTTTATATCGAGTTATTAACGGAGAATTTTATATATGTGGTGTTATATTATGGATGTGTGCGCTCCTTGCGCTCCGGGTCCCTCCGTTGGTGGCGAGACCACTGGATTTCGATGCCAGTCGGTCGGCGAGTATATGAATATGATGAATGAAAACACACAGGCATGTGCGTATAGACATGCGTTGTACTGCTGTACAGTAACGTGTCATTTGTTTGTTTTGGTTGTCCTATTTTAATAGTTTCGTGATGATGTGATGATGTGCTTTATCTGCATGATTCTCGCTGAAGTGGGCGGTTTGAGTGACGTTCGATTCGGGGGATGTTCTGGGGGCGGGGTTTGCGTGACGCGCTGCCAGCTACTAGCCCCACAGTGGAAACGCGACATGATTTCGGCCTCACTGCTCAACCTCCCGGGCGATTGGCCCGGCCTGGCCCGATATAAGCCCTGGCTCGCACTGGCCTGATAGTGGAAATGCGGCTATTAGTTCCTTGCTCGTGTCCTGGGTCTTTCCCGAGGCCTCCTCCCAGTGGGACATGCCTGGAACACCTACCTAGGTAGGCGTCCAGGAGGCATCTGAAACAAGCATACCTTTCCCAGGTTAGGGGACATGCCTGAGCCACCTCAGCTGACTTCTCTCGATGTGGAGGAGCAGCGGCTCTACTCCGAGCTTTTCCCGGGTGACAGAGCTCCTCACCCTATCTATAAGGGTGCGCCCTGCCACCCTGCCAAGGAAACTCATTTCGGCCGCTTGTATCCGAGATATTGTCCTTTCTGTCATGACCCAAAGCTCATGACCATGAGTGAGAGTAGGAATGTAGATTGACCGGTAAATCGAGAGCTTTGCCTTTCGGCTCAGCTCCTTTACCAGACCAATACATCGACCACATTACTGCTGCATCAATCCGCACACAATGACAGAAACAAGTGCTCGACCCAAGAAAACCTGAGCCGAGCACAACAGGACAGGATTAGACATGACTAGTGTCTGGATTCTGCCACCAAAACAAGAATTTACATGACCAGAGTGTCAGAACCCTGACAGTCAGAGCATGCACTGCAAACAAGTCTGACTTATTGTCGGCAATGCGAACCGAACTCCTACTCTGTTCATACATTTTTTTAAGATAAATATAATGGAAAATACTGTAAATTTCCTTGCTCTGTTAAACAGCACTTGGGAAATATCTAAAAGAGAATGATTCTCTCTTCAGCTGTCTGTCTTTCAATACATCCCCTTCTCCCTTTCCTCTCGTATTCCCCTGTTGCAGTCATTGTACACAAAGACACTAGACTTCTGTTCACGCTTCTCCAGAGCACCAAAAGATCTCTCTCTGCCTGCCAAAATGACACAGATTCTCCATTCCTCAGAGTATTCCTGCTCTTTATTCTCAAACAGTGATAAAAAACGCTCTTAACAAACTGTTGAGTAACACGATGTCCGACTTCCCAAGCGCTCACTGAAAAGAACGATCCATCAGCGCCTAAAACCAAACTAACTTGGTGTAAAGCAGAGACAGTGAGATCTTTCTCACACCCCGTTTCTCACACAATGCCTGAATGGGAGCTTATGGAGGGCTAGACTGAAGGAAAGGAGGAGGGGATTCTTTTCACTTCTTCAAATCCAACAATAGTCTTTGTCTACAGTGCTCCTCCATTCTTATTGGGGTTACTGAACGGGACGGGGTGGAGGGGCTGTTCGCCATAGTAACAGTGACAAAACAAGGGAAAGAAAAAAAAAGAGGCGCACAAAAAGAAACATGCTGCAGACTCGGGGAAGGAACCTCTACAGTTTATCGATCTCTGCGTTTATAGCTGATGGAGACCAAGAGTTGCGTGAAGGAATGGATGCAGATTTACAAGGGGAGTAATTAGAAATATTACAGTGCTGCATGTATAAATATTTCTTCGTCTGGACTATAAATCACTTTTGAGACTTTTGCGATATTCATTTGGAGACATTTGGGATATTTCTTGATCTGGACTCGCTCATTTTGCGACATTTGGGATATTTCTTGATCTGGACTCGCTCATTTTGCGACATTTGGGATATTTCTTGGTCTAGATTCATTCATTTTGTGACATTTGGGATATTTCTTGGTCTAAACTCATTCATTTGGAAACATTTGGGATATTTCTTGATCTGGACTCATTCATTTGGAAACATTTGGGAAATTTCTGGGTTTAAACTCATTCATTTGGAGACATTTGGGAAATTTCTTGATTTGGACTCGCTCATTTTGCGACATTTGGGATATTTCTTGGTCTAGATTCATTCATTTTGAGACATTTGGGAAATTTCTTGGTCTAGATTCATTCATTTTGAGACATTTGGGAAATTTCTTGGTCTGGACTCGCTCATTTTGAGACATTTGGGAAATTTCTTGGTCTGGACTCGCTCATTTTGAGACATTTTGGTTATTTTCTTGATCTAAACTCGCTCATTTTGAGACATTTTGGTTAATTTCTTGATCTAAACTCGCTCATTTTGAGACATTTTGGTTAATTTCTTGGTCTAAACTCGCTCATTTTGAGACATTTGGGAAATTTCTTGATCTGGACTCACTCATTTTGAGACATTTTGGTTATTTCTTGGTCTGGACTCGCTCATTTTGAGACATTTTGGTAAATTTCTTGGTCTGGATTCGCTCATTTTAAAACATTTGGGATATTCATTTGAGACCTTTGTGGATATTTCTCAGTCTAGACTTTAAATCCCTCATTTAAGACTTTTTGGGATATTTCTCTTTTCTGGACTATTATAATGAGTTCTGACATGCAGTATGAGGATTCAGTCTCCATCATGGTTTTGGAGAACATTAAGAATAAGCTTCTACACGCTTTTAGGACGTCATCAGAGCCCCAAAATCCTGCAGAAACGGTCACCCATTCCGTAGGAAAGAGCTTACAGGTGAATGAAGAGCTCCGGAGAGCCAAAATAGATGGAGCCATCACTTGGTTAAGAACTGAACTGGTGAGTTTAGGAAGGGATGATGCTTTTATGTTGTCTCTAAATGTGTTTGAGTGGGTCATTTGGTTGATTGATATGTTTTATTTATTTGTTTTATAATAAAGTGATTGAAGAAAATCGATGTAGGGATGGATGGATAGATGGATAGTGGCTGGATGATTGTTTGATGGATAGATGGATGGAGGGAAATGTGGAATAATGGATGGATGGAATATTGATAGATAGGTGGAATGATTGTTGTCTGTATGGATGAATGTATGATAGGTGGATATAAGGATGCATGAATGGATGGAGTGATGGTTAGATGGTATAATGATGGTTGGATGGATGGATGGATGGATAGATAGATAGATAGATAGATAGATAGATAGATAGATAGATAGATAGATAGATAGATAAAAGATGAAGGATAAGTGGAATGATAGTTAAATGAGTGTAGATGCATGGTTGGTAAAATGAAATGATGGTTGGTTGGTAATGATGGAGGGAGGGATGGATGGATCGAATGATGGATGAATGAGATAGAGTTATGGATGGATTAAATGATGGGGCAGTGGAGATGGATAGGTAGAATGATGGCTGGATGTGAATGAATGGAAGTTTGGGTGGGTAAAATGATTGTTGGATGAATGCATGTAATGATAGATGAATGGGTGTAAGGATGGATAGAGGGATGAATGGTGGAGTGATGGTTAGATGGGTAGAATGATGGTTAATTGGTAGAATGATGATTGGTTGGATGGATGGAGGGATGGATGAAAGATAAATGGATGGATAGATAGAAAAATGGTTGGAATGATGGATGTAAGGATGGATGGATGGATGATGAAATGATGGATGAAGGGAAAGCTGGATGGAGGGTGTGATGGTTGGATTATGGGATGGATGGATAGAATAATCGTTAGATGGATAGAACATAAATGGGTGGATGGATGAATGGATTGAAAAAAGAAAAATGAATGGAATGATGGTCGGATGATGAAATGATTGGTTGGTTATGGAATGATGGATGGATTGAATGGATATTGTTTTATGGAATGATGGATGGATGGATGGATGGATGGATGATGGATTGAATAATGGTTGGTTATGGAATGATGGATGGATGTATGGGTGGATTGAATGGATGTTGGTTTATGGAATGATGGATGGATTGAATAATGGTTATGGAATGATTGATGGATGGATGGATGGATGGATTGAACAATGGTTGGTTTATGGAATGATGGATGGATGATAAATGGATGGATGGATTGAATAATGGTTGGTTATGGAATGATGGATGGATGGATGATAAATGGATAGATGGATGGATTTAATAATGGTTGGTTATGGAATGATGGATGGATGGATTGAATAATGGTTGGTTATGGAATGATGGATGGATGGATGGATGATAAATGGATGGATGGATTGAACAATGGTTGGTTATGGAATGATGGATGGATGGATGGATGAATGGATGGATTGAATAATGGTTGGTTATGGAATGATGGATGGATGGATGGATGGATGGATGGATGGATTGAATAATGGTTGGTTATGGAATGATGGATGGATGGATGATAAATGGATGGATGGATTGAACAATGGTTGGTTATGGAATGATGGATGGATGGATGGATGGATGGATGAATGGATGGATTGAATAATGGTTGGTTATGGAATGATGGATGGATGGATTGAATAATGGTTGGTTATGGAATGATGGATGGATGGATGGATGGATGTTGAATGGATGGATGGATGGATTGAATAATGGTTGGTTATGGAATGATGGATGGATGGATGATAAATGGATGGATGGATTGAATAATGATTGGTTATGGAATGATGGATGGATGGATGTATACATGTATGGGTAGAATGATGTTTGGATGGAGTGACGGATGGACAGACTCAATAATAGACTGATAGATGTGTCTGTGTATGTAATAAATGTGTGTGTTGTGCAGCTGGAGATGCGCTCTCAGGACCGGCAGCTCGCTCAGACTCTGCTGGGGCTCAATAAGGAGATTCAGAGGCTCAGACGGGAGAGCGGATCCCTGCTACTAGAAGAGGACACGGAAAACCTGTGACCCAGCGTTATGGACCCTTTTCACAATTCCAGGTCTCTCAGCAGCGGAAGTCATCATAATTGGCTAAAGTTAGAGTGCCGTGAATGGGAGAGTACAACAGATCATTTTTTACAATCCTAATTAATCAAAGAAAAACTCCAGACTTCCAGAAGAAGGAAAACAACAGTGCGAGACTGATAACAGCAGATAGAAGGGAGATGATGACACATTTACTGTCCTTCATCCATAGACACTGCATTAGAAACACCTCACATTAGCAATCATTTATTTGTTTGTATTTTGATTTAAAGATGACTTAATACCGTGGTTCTCAACTGGTTTTGCCATAGGAGCCACATTTTGACATGGTGATCATGCTGCGACCCAGATTTTTAGGAATTATAATATAATTTTAGGAATTATAATTTACTTGTATTTATTCGTTAACATGCACAAGTAGTGGCCAATAAATCAAAATGTATCAAATTATAGTAATATTACAGAGTAAAAACGTCAAATACTGTAAACAGCGGTCAGGGAAAGGAAAAGTTCAGTCACCATTAACTAAACTGAACAGTTAATAAAACATTAACACATGATCCTGTCGAACTGAACAAGCCAGCAAATTAAAGTAAAGTGATTAAAATAATTATAACCATGTTTGCTCTTCTGCTATTGTGTGGGCTTTCTTGGCCTCGGTGAGCACAGTAGGATGCGCAGAATGTTTTGAACATGAAGATGTTCGGCTCTTTTGTGATGCCCTCAGCTATTGGAGTCGTCTTTGAAAATAGTCCACAGGTTTGTCCTTGCAACCGGGATGTTTATTTTCTAAATGTCGTTTTAATTGAGAAGGTTTCATGCTCTCTTGTGAGAGCACCTCACTACACATGACACACTGAGGTTTTAAGCCTTTTTTTGTCGTCAATATATGTAAATCAATACTTTACATATTTGATTCGAGGTTGTACTTGCATTTCAACATATTTGTTGCTATAATTAAATAAAATGTCAAACGGTACGGCTGTCGCACGCGCATTTCAAAATAAAAGTCCGATATAAGCAAAATGAGTTAAAATTTCAACGTTTTTTTTTTTTTTTTTTTTGGATCACACTGTGCAACCCACAGAAAATGTTAAGTGTGTCACGACCCACCAGTTGAGAAACACTGATATAATACATATACATGTTCATACATTTAAAAAAAAAATCGAAATATTACAAACTTTCAAGGATTTACGATGCTGATGACCATTAAATGCATCTTGTGAAAAGGGTCAATGAAGGGAGTCTGCTCTTCTGGAGGGCACTTTGATGGCACTTTCTGGCCGTGGTTTATTTTCACATTTCTTATAACAGGCATTTTAATAAATGTATAACAAGGGCGTAGATTTGCTTTTGATATTGGTCATTCATTAATTTTAGCACGTTCGCCTCACAGCAAGAAGGTCGCTGGTTTGAACCTCTGCTCAGTTGGCGTTTCTGTGAGGAGTTTGCATGTTCTCCCTGCGTTCGCGTGGGTTTCCTCCGGGTGCTCCGGTTTCCCCCACAGTCCAAAGACACGCAGTACAGGTGAATTGGGTAGGCTAAATTGTCCGTAGTGTATGAGTGGGACATGCCCATATGACAGGCCGGCTGGAAGTTGTAAAAAAGTCGTTATCATATATATAACTTGTCCCAAAAAGAGCCGACCCCGCAATCATACGGGACAAAGGCCAAAGAAAAAGAAGATTGCTCATTCATTCATTAATTTTCTTGTCGGCTTAGTCCCTTTATTAATCCAGGGTCGCCACAGTGGAATGAACCACCAACTTATCCAGCAAATGTTTTTGCACAGATTCCAGCTGCAGCCCATCACTCTCATTCACACTCATACACTACAGACAATTCAGCTTACCCAATTCCGCTATAGTGCATATCTTTGGACTTGTGAGGGAAACCGGAGGCAACCCAAACTAACACCGGGAGAACATGCAAACTCCACACAGAAACGCCAACTGACCCTGAGGCTTGAACCAGCGACCTTCTTGCTGTGAGGCGAGCATGCTACCCACTGCGCCACCATGCAGCCCTATTTTTGACTTAGTATTTCAGCAAACAAGACAACACTTTCTGCTTGTGTGGAAAATGCTTCCTGATTTAAGACTTTTAAGATATTTGGACTAGAAACAAGACCAACACTTTGAATTTAAATGATTCCCGTGCATCTCAAGTCAATGTAGCTAAAATAGCTAAACAAAACCTGTATATATACTAGGGGTGCGCAGTCCTGTTCCTGGAAAGCCACTTTCCTGCAGAGTTCAGTTGCTACCCGTATCAAACACACCTGCCTGTAATTATCAAGTGGTGTTCAGGTCCTAATTAATTGATTCAGGTGGGTTTGATATAGGTAGCAACTAAAATCTGCAGGAAGGTGGCTCTCTAGGAACAGGATTGAGCACCCCTGATAAATACTAATCGAATAAAAGACTTTGTTAATGGCGCGTCTAATAGGATGCTTAGAGAAGTCTTGAGAAGGCTGTTGTTTAAAATATGATGGGCATTAAAAACAATTCATATGATTAATTTGTCTATATGCGAAGCAGTGGCGCAGTAGGTAGTGCTGTTGCCTCACAGCAAGAAGGTCGCTGGGTGAATCCTCGGCTCAGTTGGCGTTTCTGTGTGGAGTTTGCATGTTCTCCCTGCGTTTGCATGGGTTAACTCCGGGTGCTCCGGATTCCCCAACAGTCCAAAGACATGCGGTACAGGTAACTTGGGTAGGCTAAATTGTCCGTAGTGTATGAGTGTGTGTGTGGATGTTTCTCAGAGATGGGTTGCGGCTGGAAGGGCATCCGCTGCGTAAAAACTTGCTGGATAAGTTGGCGGTTCATTCCGCTGTGGCGACCCCAGATTAATAAAGGGACTAAGCCGACAAGAAAATGAATGAATGATTCATTTGTCTATAAATAAGATGCTTCTCACATGTTCTTGCTGTTAATGAGATTATGAGCATCTGCTGTATGAGTTTGCACATACCGGGTGAATAATTAGCCTAGTCATGATGAATGCATAAAGATTGCATCATATGTTTATTAAAATGTCTTGATTTAAACTCATTGCTTCATGAGATGTTTCCACCAAAACTGATCAGGTTTTAATGTTTATACTGTATATCATTAATAACATGATATGTGTCTTAGAAGAGTTAGATCATCAGTGAATATTTGTTCACGTCTTGCTTTAAAAAACACCTAAATCTTGTCACGTTGTACTCATGACTGTCATAATACAAAGAAAAGTTCATTAATCAGCATTCAAAGAGTACACCTCTATACGTGTTTACAAAGAGTCCATTTTAGTGATACCAGCAGGGAAGATCTTGTGCTGAGAACAGTGAGGTCCACCATCCACCATCACTGTCTATCCCACATCAGGGAGAGTTACGTTGTGGAGAAGCCCCAAAGAAGAGGCACTTCAGTTTTGTCAAGTGACAATCAAACATTCAGCAGCAGTCTGTCACCAAAGACATTGTCAAGTTCATCACAGTTTCAAACATTCACATTTGTTTTCACTTTTTGACTTTGTTGATATACTGTATAGTACAGTATAAACGATGTATACATATCTCGAACTGTAAGACGAGATAAGATTTCTATTAAAGGAATACTCCGCTTTTTTTTGGAAATGGGCTCATTTTACAGCTCTTCCAGAGTTAAACTATTGATTTTTAACATTTTTTTAATCCATTTAGCTGATGTCTGAGTTTACCAGAAGCACTTTTAGCTTACATTTACATTTAGTCATTTAGCCGACGCTTTTATCCAAAGCGACTTACACATGAGGACAAGGAAGCAACTTACACAACTATAAGAGCAACAATGAATAAGTGCTGTAGGCAAGTTTCAGGTATGTAAAGTGTAAGAAGCAAAACATTAGTATTTTTTTTCTGTAATACAGTTAGCGGTGGAGCCAGAGAGGCAGTTGCAGATTAGGAAGGTAAGTGGAGACTAAATAGTTGAGTTTTTAGTCGTTTCTTGAAGACAGCGAGTGACTCTGCTGTTCTGATGCAGTTAGGGAGATCATTCCACCAACTGGGCAGATTGAATGCGAGAGTTCGGGAAAGTGATTTCTTCCCTCTTTGGGATGGAACCACGAGGCGACGTTTATTAGCTTAACTTAGCATAGATCATTAAATCGGATTAGACCATTAGCATCTCTCTTATAAATGAGCCAATCTCTAGGTTTGGCGGAAGCACTTTTAGCTTAGCTTAGCGTCATTGAATGGGATCGGATTAGACCATTAGCATCTCATAAATGAGCTGATTTCGGGGTTGGGCGGGAAGCACTTTTAGCTTAGCTTAGCATAGGTCATTGTATCGTATTAAACCATTAGCTTCGCTCACACAAATGAGCCAATCTTTAGGTTTGATGGAAGCACTTTTAGCTTAGCTTAGCATAGATCATTGAATCAGATTAGACCGTTAGCATCTCTCATAAACGAGCCGATCTCTACGTTTGCTGAAAGCACTTATAGCTTAGCTTAGCATAGATCATTGAATGGGATTAGACCATTAGCATCTCTCTAATAAATGAGCCGATCTTTAGGTTTGACAGAAGCACATTTAGCTTAGCATAGATCATTGAATAGGATTAGACCATTAGCATCTCACTCAATGAGCCGATCTTTAGGTTTGATGGAAGCACTTTTATCTTAGCCTAGTGTTGCTTATTGAATTGGGTTAGACCATTAGCATCTCTTTCATAAATAAGCTGATCTCTAGGTTTTGGGGAAGTATTTTTAGTTTACTTCAGTATATAGATCATTGAATGGTATTAGACCGTTAGCATCTCTCTCATAAGTGAGCCGAACTCTAGGTTTACTGGAAGTTCTTTAAGCTTAGCTTAGCATAAATCATTGAATCGGATTAGACCATTAGCATCTTTCATAAATGAGCCAATCTCTAGGTTTACTGGAAGCACTTTTAGCTTAGCTTAGCATAGATAATTGAATCGGTTTAGACTATTAGCATCTCTCAGTGAGCCGAACTCTAGGTTTGATGGAAGCACTTTTATCGTAGCTTAGCATAAATCATTGAATGGGATTAGACCGTTACCATCTCCTTCATAAATGAGATGATCTCTAGGTTTGGCGGAAGCACTTTTAACCTAGCTTAGCATAAATCGTTGAATCAGATTAGACCATTAGCATCTTTTATAAATGAGCCAATCTCTAGGTTTACTGGAAGCACTTTAAGCTTAGCTTAGCATAGGCCATTGAATCGAATTAGACCGTTAGCATCTCTGTAGTAAATGAGCCAATCACTAGGTTTGATGGAAGCACTTTCAGGTTACCTTGAATGAATGGGATTAGACCGTTAGCATCTCTCTCATAAATCAGAGTTTAGTTAATTTTTCCACACAGTTTGACTTACACTGTTTATTAAAACTGACCTCAAATCAAAAGTTGCTATTGTTTGGCTGCAGGAGGTGGACTGATATTATGTGGTAATATCATTACTGATAATCCCCTAATCAAATATCTTGATTATTATGCCAGAATGAGAATATAGTTCTGGCCATATCGGTCTAGAATATAACAACTTCAAACTTTCTGTCTGAAAAGATCTTTTCTGAAATGCTAATGGTCTAATCTGATTCAATGGTCTATGCTAA